TAATTTTGGTGGTTTAATGAAGTACTAGCTGGTTATCTGAATTACTATCTGATGTAACCAAAGGGAGAATAGGCATTTTAAACTCGTGTGTCTATATACAATCTCCTTGGCCTACGTACATCCTTTGTTCTCAGTGATTTAGCACCCTTCAACAACTGAGACTCCGTACGAGAGCCTCTGTTTGTCTCGATGGATCCTAATCCTGGTGCGGGAATTGCTACTTACCTGAACTGTTTTTTGTTGTGTGGGGTTTTTTTGTTGTTGTTGTTTTGTTTGTTTGTTTTTTAAGAAAATAATTTTGATCTCACGAAGCTTTTTGAGGCTGGTATTGTTTTATTGTTGTTGGTTTGGTTTTTGGGAGTTTTTTTGTCTGCTTACGTGTCTCAGATTTGTGGCCTCAGTTTCAAGTGCCCTGGAACAGAATAGCCTACACCTACCCATGGTGTGGCCCCTCTGCCGCCTCTAGAGAGCCTTGCAAATGGATAGGGTGGCACTAAGCACAACACGTACAAGTCACGAGCTTGCTCAGCACCGCCGACGTCCTCACCGCACGCCCTGTCCAGCCAGCCTGCACAACGGTGAGGGTCAGGCAGTGCCCTCGCCTCCCAGCTCCTCCGGCACAGCAGGGAAAGCCTGGGATGGCCCCAGGGGCTGCACCTGGACCACTGATTATGAAGAGCCATACTGCTTTCCAGGGCTTCTCTACATTTCAGTCTGATAATACTCGAAAGGGTGGGTAAGGAGTCTTGAAAATTTTTAAGGAAATGCTTGATGCTTGCTAGAAGAACTGGGCCCTGCTTTCTCAAAAGCCTGTTTCCAAGGCATACTGAGATGATGGGTCAGCACCTTCTCCCATTTCCTGGGCAAAACACCTCAGCTCTCCTTCCCCATCGAGCCTGTAAGGAGACGGGACTTCACAGCCACCTCCTGGCAGGCGGCCGCTGCTCTGGCTCTCCTCGCCTGGTGGTCGGCTGGAGGCTGCCTGCATCCATTGCCAAAGAGCTCTGTCTTGTGGTTGTCCCTGACATCCTGTGAAACCAGCCTGAGATGCCTAAATTACAGATGAAAAATAAGCAACATCAAAGAGGAATGTCTCTGGATGCGGTCACTATGTTTTGTGGCTTTCACAGTTTGTGGGTTGTTTGGTTTTTTCTTTTTCTCTCCTCTTCCAGTGAAGTTCTGCATCCCCAAAGTACATTTGGCCATCCCTCTCCACTTTGCATGGAATTCGGGCTGTTTGTTTATTCTAACTCCTCCTAGCTCATGATAATGTCATACACTATGAGGTCTGTAAAAGGACATGCTTCTGGTGCAGAACCAGGCAGTTGTTGCTGTGGACAAAGAGCTCTGTAGTCGGGAGTAAGTATTACATAGGAACTTGCTCTTCTCATTGCTATTCAGAAGGCATTTTAAGAAGTTACAGAGAAAACAGATCAACTTCTGGATTATGTTGGCACTTATTGACCCTGTGCTGTATTAATGAAGGCTTTTTGTTGTAGCAGAAGGGCTTTTTCTTTTTTGCAGGAGCATACAGTGCCTCTGGCACAGCTACCCTATAAGCATGAAAGCATGGAAATTAATCTTCATTTCAGTTTGCCATATATAAAATTTACTTTAGATATTGTGTCCTTGAATATTTTTTTGTGTGTCTTAATTGTTCTGAATGAATGCTTAAAATTCATCGGACTCTTTGATACTTCAGCATCTCCTTTCATGGAATAAAATGTGAGTTTCAGCCCCTTTGTTTAGAACTAAGTCACAGCACTATTCTTAAATCACCTGTCATGGGTTGCTGTCTTCTCTTGCACCACAATATTCTAAAGACAAATAACCATAGACATATTTTTATATAAATCTTGCAAAAATGTCCTTCTTTCATATTATAAATTTGAGTATGAATATTTATAACAGGATTTCCCTTCTTAATTGTTAGTTCTTGTTCATAGCATCATAATATATGCAGCTACTAGAAATAGGATGCCAGTATGATAATGCTAAACCAGTTTTTAGTCCAGTAGAATTATTTTAATGTAATGTCACTGAAATTCAGAATTTTACAGTAAATGTGCCAAAATACTTGTAGACATTGAATCTTAAACAGAAGGAAATCAGCAATGGGAAGAATGGATTAAGTAAAAGGAGCTGAATGTTAATAGTGTTTAAATTGCAAACTAAACTACCATAACAAATTAAGAAACAGTACTTAGGCTATATCTGATGGCAAATAAATATTCTTTTTCCACCAAGTGTGTTGAATTTTTTTCAGGAATTACTTTCCTGAATTAAGTTTTACACTAAATATGCACGGGTCTGTATTAGCAACCGCATTGTACAGTGCTTGTACCGAGGTTTGCTAATGACTTATTCAGTGTTTAAATACAGGGTTTCATAAAGAATATTGTGGCTTTTCAACCAAACATAATTGTGGTTATCCAGTCTAAAATGCCTAGAACCAAATAAATAAACCTCTTTCACTCCACTGTAATAATAAAAAAAAAAAACATTTTGCAGCATGACAAAGTAATTCTTTGCTGGTGATTGATCTAAGTCATAGAATTACTTAATTGTGAATCTGGACAAATTCTATTCATCTGGCCAGTTGTGGATCCACAGATTGTCAGTAGCAGAAATCTGCTGTATTACAACTGTATGTATTATGCAGCTACCATCTTTTTAGTAACATGGGTGCATGCAATGATTTGCCCTGCTTACAAAAATGTTTGCAAGCATATGTTGCAGAGGTGAGGATAAAGGGCACATAGCTTATTATGTAATTACTATGCACGCAGAACTGCTGCTTGATTACGGGGAAAGTTATTATTCTGCCACGGCTGTTATGCCAGTGGGCTCATTTTGATGATGCGTTCTCTTAATGTATTAGCTTTAACCTTTGAAGATTTGGTTTAAATCCTGACTGTGCATCACAGGCGAAGAGATACGTATTCATTTCCATGTTCTGAGAAGGCATTTTTCCATGTGATAAAGGCTTTCTGCCTGTGTGCTTGATGAGTTATTGTTGCTTTAGGATATGTGCCTACACCTACTTTTGCAGATACGGGTTAACATGTATGAGTAATATCGACTCTCATTCACCATTTTCCTGTTATATGGCTACTTAGGGCTGTATCATAAGTATAAAAATTCCACTTTCTTGAAACGATGCTATTGGTTTCTCCCTTTGAAGAACCATACAGTAGTAAATGTGGGACACAACAGAGGACAGTCGATGGAAGCTTGCCAGCTGCCATACAGTGCTAATAATGGTAATGGCATGCTGTATTGTAAACTCGAGACTTACAGCAGCTTATGCATGTATGCAGTGTGACCTTACATTGCTGTCAAAATTTATAAACATCACATCAATTTATAGAAAGAATTATTAAGTGTTAAGTTTGTTACACATTGAGAACATTTTGGACACCCTAGGTCTCAAATGTTCTAATATGTCCACCTGGAGCAATAGATTAATACAACACCATGTATTAAGAAAGGGTCACGGCAAAGACTGTATGTTCTCAGGAGCCATTTTAAAGTCGAGATTAAGATCTGCTTAATTTAAAGGAATCGGGAATTGATATTATCCAGCAAGTACTTGGTTTTTTTGTTGGTGGAGTTTTGGGGGTTTTTTTGAGATGAAGCAGCCAAATGTATCCTAAATATATGGCCATATGCTCTGTATTCATGACAGTGTGTTGTACGTAGAAACGCGTGAAGGTAATAGTGGGAATAAAAGTTACATTGTGGAATATATTGTGTAAGTTATGTGCTTAATCCATCAGTAAGCATCACATGTACACATTTAGCCAAAGTTGCAGGCGGAGAAGATCTAGGGAGGTAGGGAGCAGAGATACATATGGGCACATAAACGCGGGAGTTGTGGGTGGGCTGTGGTGCTCTGAACTTCGTGGCATTTTCCATGGTACTGTTTACGTTAGTCTGGTCTATATTACATTTGGCTCTAAAGTATGAATGAGCAGGAGTATGTGTCTTAGTCTTTCAAGCAACATTAATTCATCTGAATATCACCAGCTTCATTTTTAGTTTAAGCAATGTAATTTACTGCATCACTGAGTTCAGTAAGTAATTGACCATATTACTTTCTTCAGCTACCACATTACCAGTTTTGGGCAGGGTAATGAATCTTTACTCCCTGCCAAATTTTGCTTTCTGTGAAATTATTGTTCGTGATGCTGTCATGCTACGCGCGCACATTTACTACCGGTTTTATCGGCCCTTCAGGACTTGGTTTCAGGACTCGGGAACGGGATAACCAAGTGGAGCTGGGCCCCTGAGGGGAGCCTGCATCTCCTTTCCTATGAGATCTTAGCCATGCCGTGCTGTTTCATCATACCGGCAACCAGCACCCCATTGCTCCCATCTAAATATCCTAACTAACTGATTTGTAATCTCTTTCTGGCTTCGTCTGCTGTCTTCAGTTGAAACAAAGGCCCACTAGGCCACAGTGGCTGGCATGGTTTTGACTCGGGCAATTTCCGTCCTTCAGTCTGCTGGTGTTAATTGCTGCTGTATTTGAAAGGCTGAGCTCCTTGAGCTACCACCTCAAAGGTCTGGTGCTTGGCACACTTCTGGCATTTGGTTCATGAATTTGAGGTGGAGGGTGCTGGCGAAGGCAGCTAGTTCCCTCCTTTTGTGGTGGAGTAGGAGCTTAAAAGGAAGGAGTTGAAGGTTACTTACCTACGATTGTCCCATCTCTCAGTTTCTCCTTGAGACATTGTCCTGTCACCTTGGCTGAGTTTAGGCGATTACTAATTGCTCAGTGGTTTACTCGGTACCCTTTGAACAAACATCTAATGGAGCACAGAGTGGAGTGCTCTGCCTCTTGCTTGGCAGTGACCCAGCTGTTCAGGGCGCTGGATTAGGGCAGCGATTGACCTGGCATTGAAATCTCAATGTGTTATTTTTAATGAATTTATATGTTAAAAACCTGCAAAATATATCTGAGTTATTCTAAAATGTTCTTCTTGTCTTTGCTTCCACAGTACCAGGATACGAATATGCAAGGTGTAGTGTACGAATTGAACAGCTACATAGAACAGCGCCTGGATACAGGAGGAGATAACCAACTACTTCTGTATGAACTGAGCAGCATCATTAAAATAGGTAAGAACGAGAATCAGACATCTCTGAGCTGTTACTTAGCATCAGTGCACAGAACATTTCTTACATGGTTTAGTTAATAAAGACAGGTATTGAAGGATAACAGTGTTTTCTTTGGATGTTGTCTCAGTATGAACTTACTTTGCCTTATGTCCCTCAGTGAATCCCTGACTGCACTTAAATGAATTTTGTCTCTGGAGAGGGTTGTGTATCCAATTGCAAAATTAGAGTCCCCTGTTAAATGAACCAAAGAATAGACTGTTCTGGTTATGATGGTGTGGCAATGTCAATATTGAAAGTAAAAAAAAATCTATCAGTAATATCACTACATATTTGAACTCCTTTTGAAAGAAAACTGAGATGTTACTGAAAGAGGGCATATCTTTTGTGTGATCTCATATTACAGTCAGTTGTTTATCCATTTTTTTCTATGTGATGTAAGTACCTTTTGTGGTAAGAAAATACTATACATGATCAAAAGTTAAAAAATAAAACCAAAAACATTCCCAATAACAATGTAAGTGTAATTTGGCTTCTTTTTAGCCAGAGTGGATGTACTGAGACTTCAATACGAAGTATCAGTTGCTTTGTTCAGTATAGCTTTCTGTCACCCCTTTAGAAAGGTTTTACCATCCCTGTTCCTTCATCATTTTGTAATGATGAGTAATAGTTCTGGATTATATACGTGGTGTTTTAAAAGGACCACTTCTGTTTACTAATTTTGCTTAAGTGGTTATTTGGATATTTATGTCCAGGTCACAGCAAATCAGACTGGATTTTGTTAATACACAGCAAGTGAGAAGCTATAGGAGACAGGGTCTGCTTATCTTTTACAATCATTTTTTCTCTTGTAAAGCAGATGAGATGGTTTTTTTTGTATTTCCTTTACAGTGCTCATTTGCCTTGTAATTCAAAATGCTTACATACTACAGCTGAAGGATTTAAAATCTGAATGAAAATTACCATGCCCTGAACTCCCACTAGTGTTACACAGTTGACAATAAGCAAGTAACTACACAGTGGGATTTTTTTTTCCTTTTGTCAAAGAAATGCAGAAAGCCAAGTGATTTGATCACGCACAAGTATAGTCACTTCCTTGAAAGGTACTAAATGGATTCTTGTGTCCATTCATAAAAACTGGGTATCAGATATGTACATTTACTGTTTAGAATGTTTATTAACTGTTGGAAACACAGACAGACTTACAGTCAAGGTATCAAAGTCTATTGTGTAAAGTGGGGTAAAAAACATTGACTGCTATATCCTCTTCTGATTTTGAGAGTTTTCATTTTAGCAGTAAGTTATGGTGGTTGGTTGACTCTGAACTTTGGAGACTTTAAAGAACTTGACTTTACCCTGTTTCATACAACAATCTGAATCTGGCAGAAATCTGACAGGTATAAACTTTCTGGTGTGTGTCACTGATTTTAATATGGGGCAGGTGCAGAAAATACAAACAGTTTGTTGTGAAACACTTTTATGGCAATATTTGCAACATTTTATCTTCCCATAATTTTTCTATCTTAAGGTAAGGACAAATATAGCTTACCATCTATGAATGATATTTATTTTACTCATGGAAGTTATAATGCTATCTGGCTGATTATATTGTAAATGGATGTTCTTATGTTAATTCTATGCTGTCATATGAATTAATTTGAATTTACAGACATTAGGCCTTGGAATCAGAGTAAGATGTATAAAGAGGTTGTTTTCTAATTATCTTTTAGAGTGCAGTAAATGACAATGGGGAAAACAAGAATTACCTCGTACCTCTAACTTTGTAGAGTCTGGGAAGTTTCAAGGGACACAGCAATAGACCTTCACCTTTAGAATTTTAGATGTTTGTCCTAAGTGGAATTGAATCTGTGGTTTCACCTCAGAGATCTTGCATAAGTTCGATTTCCCCCTGTGAGTACAATTATTTCTTTTATTATTGCTTTGGCAGCTACAAAAGCTGATGGATTTGCACTATATTTCCTGGGAGAATGCAATAATGTAAGTATACTGGATTAAGATGCTGCTTTTCTGTACAGTTACAAGTGCATTTTCCAATTTGACAATGATATTTTATTTTGCACATCATTTAGCAGGAAATATTATCTGAGTGCTGAATATTAGCTTTATGTTAGCTTTATTTCTGTAAAATAGAAACTTATTGAACGTAGTGGTAATGAAAAAAATGTTTCCTGCATTTAGATCCTTGGTCTTTTAATTTTTTTTAAAGATTTGGCAGTAGTGCTGTTGTTTCTCTGACTGTAGCAACTTAACTTGTGATTTAGCCCCATTATTAATTGCGTTTAACAAACAGAAAACTTAACTTGGATTTACTCTCTGCGTAGCCTATTCTTGTAATCTAGTTACGTCTCTGTTTATTTTTTAAATGTTATCAGGTCTTGTGTTAACTGCCAGCTGCAGCTTGATAGTGAGGTAATGTAAATTTCAGATGTAGATTTTAGTTAGCATAAAATAAATTGCACTTTTAAAATTTATGAATGGGATTAGTTTCTGATGTAATAATTTGAATACCAGCGAGTCCAATATTTGCTGGTTTGTTATTTGGCATTTAGAACGCATTACATTTTTTTCTGTCCAGATTAATTTGTACAGTTACCATATACAAGATTTTGTAGTTACTTCAAACGGCTACCAAGAAGGAAATGCAGTTTATACTTCAGTCAGTTCCATCAACTTAAAAATCACAATTTGTCATAAATTTTATGTCTTTCATTGGTTCAAGAAACAAATTAAACTCTTCTTATTGAAAAATGACTAGAGAGGAAAATATTTTTCTCATTGTTTTTGTTTCCTTACTTTACACAGCCAGTTTTAGTAGTTTATTTTTGTATAGTCCGTTAGCCAATTTCCTTTGCTCTTTGTGAAATAATTGAATTCTGAAAAAGGGAAAGAACATCATTTTTAAAACAATGGAAATGGGGTTGAAGATGTACAAACCTGCAGGTGACTTGAGCCTTGCCTGAGAATATTTTTTACTTATTCAAAAAGATAATGTCTAATTTGAAGAGTGTGGAAGAAGGGCCATACAGAAATTTCCTAAAAGAAATGGAAATGGGTTTTGCATTTTTTTTTTTTTCATTTAATGATTATTTCATATAATAAAGATAACCCATTTTGTTATTCAGAAATTGGGTCTGCTCTGAATTAATTCTGTAAGTACGTAAATAGCATATATTTTTCAATAACCCTTTCACTGAGAGGTGTAATTTAAGTAACATGTTGTTCATCCTTTGCGAATGCAATCGTTGGTTCTCACTGGTAGGTGACAGCGTCCACTGTCACGGGTGGGGGGTGATGCAAACAGTCACTGAAGAGCTTCCTCCTGCTGCCAAGGGCAGGAGCTTGCAGCAAGTGCAACCATCCGTTCCGAATGCACCGCACTCGCCAGCTTCAGCGGCATTAACTGCATGCCAGCTGGGCATGGTCATCTCTACGTGCTTTGTAAAAGATTACAGTAAAATTGACTTTACAGCTTGAGACCTAGAGAATTCTTACTATGATGAGGTTTTGCCTGTTACATTAGTGTGGCATAATATGGGGTTCTTCCCACTCTTCTGATACCTTGAGGGCCTTGGCACTTCATGACCTTCTGCTTTTTTTTTTTTTAAATAGCCTATTAGGCAGTTGAATCTATTTGCTTCCCAGTATAACTCCTTCCTGAAAAAAGTTCCAACCGCTAAAAACACACATTGACTTTATTAACCACTGCTATGTAGCTCCATCTCCCAAAATGGAATGTTCTTCACGTAGTTATTATAGGGACTGATCCCAAGTCCTTTGAAGTTAGTGTGAGATTTTCCATTCGCATTAGTGGGCTTTGGGCCAGACTCATGTTTGTAGTCTTGTAACTAAATGGTAACGCATTAGCCTACTTTTTGTAAGAAATTGTCATTGAAAATTAATTTGGATTACTTTGTCTCTTGCATATTTAATTTAAAGGATGTGCCCAAGTAAGATTGACAATTGTCCAGCAAATACTGGCAATGTATTTTTATTTATTTTTATTAAATATCTTTTTAAAATGGGAACAAAAAGATTCTGCATAGCATAAATGGCACAAAGGAGCTAATTCTTTAAGCTGAAGCTTCAAAAATGATAAAACCTCCTATCATTAGCCTGGACAAAGTAGTTGCTGAGCACCTCTGTCCACATGTTGAAGAATGGCTTCTATTTTTTGGTGGCTTAATTTTTTTGCTTAGTTTGTGACTTAAGTTTCGCAAATTCACCAAAACTAATTTTTTTTAAATTTTATCTTTTGGCTTTTTGTTCGATAGCTTGAGAAGTATACATAAACCTGCTTGTATTTATCCAGTCAGCAGCCTTGTGTTTCAGAACTAGACCTGATGTAAGTTATTTCCACCAGGCTTTCAAAGAAGTAAGGTGTGCTGGAATTCAGCTTTTCTGGAGTGTGTGTATATGGCTTTTTGAGAATTACGTGCTAGGAGAGTATTGTAACAGGGAGGAATCCTGTTAATAAGTAGATACCTACTTTCTCCCAAATGGTTTTGTAATGTTTAGCGACGTGTGTTCTGACTATATTCTGTAAGGGAGCCTAGGATCAAAACTGAACCAATAGCATTAAGTCTACTTCGTTTCAGCTCCTGCTGTAAATAAGTATAGGTATACTTGTGCCTGTTTAAAGAAAGCCAAATTTGAGAATCTTGACACATGTTAATCTCAGCTAAGGAATATTTTTGCAATATGAGATTTCCATAACTACCTTTAGCCTAGATTAAATAGTGAGTTTTTAATTAGGATAGAAGATAACTTTCTTTTACAGAAATTCTAGATATTAACAAAATGAAAACCAGCAAATGATTACTGCATACTGTGTGCTATTATTTCTTAATATTGAGAGAAGAGAATTGCCGTATCATTGAAATTTTTTTTTTTTTTTTTTCCCCACGGGTCACTAAGAGTTCATTGTAAATCTTACTTTGAAATTTTTAATACGGATAGCACTTCCCTTGCATGAAAATTATATTAGAACTGAAAGCAAATTTGTTTAATGTGAAGAAAAGCTCTGGACTAGCTGGCCCTTTTCTTTCTGCAAAACATAGGTGATACACTGGCCTTTAAAGGAAGACCTTGTTTAAGATAAAATTCCTTTGGAGTTTAATAGCACAAATGTGAGTTTGTTAAAGCACCTGTCCATATGCAAAGTTTCTTTTTGACCTTATTTTCTTTCTCTCTGTTGAGGTATATAAAACTGTATCTTGACTTGTATTAAAGCTGGATAACAGCATAAGGACATGGTAATTTCTGGCTGACAGGTCAGGTCAAATGCTTTCAGGATCTTTCCTTGAATGAATGTGCTTGAAATGGAAGATGCCACACCAATTGCAGGTTACAGTGCATTTCTTTATGCAAGTATTACTCAGAAGAGATGCCAGAATGAGTGTGGCTGGTTCAGTTATTTTAGGGACCTTCTGGTTGTTCAAATTGCTCGGGAGTGCTAGCACTTGTCGTGCTCCTTGCTAAGGGCGTTCTGATAGTATGATTCTGCTTTTCAAATGATTGCCCCCAAGCAGGTAAGTACCACTCACATGCTCAACTCCTTCCTTGCCCATAAAGTTGCCCTGTGTATCAGAATCTGGTTTTGCGTATGTTGTACATATGGTAGAATGCACTGCAAAATACTCGGATACTAAGAACAATATAGCTTCCTCATCAGGGTCAAGTGATCTGAACAGACCTGTGCCCCTACTGCCTCTGGTTCTTGAACTTTCTCCATATCTAAGAAATTATCTTTGTCCATGGGTTAGTGCAGTTATGCAAATAAAATGATTTATTCTTGAGGTACATAACACCATTTTGCAAATGCTTTATACTGGTGACCAGAAACACTTCCAAATCAAACAGGGATTTTTCCCAACTCTCCAGCAAAGGACTTGACTTTATTTCTGTTTTATTCCTTATGGGGATGAATATGTGGTTCATAATTCTCATGTTATGACCTTAATTGAAAACCATCTTCAAACATGAGTTAAAGGATTTACGGAAATCCTCATATGGAGTGGTGTGTGTGTGTGTAAATCATTGTGCCTAAGTACCGTGGTAGCTGGGCATGGATTTAAGCCCATAAGCTGGCATCTTCACAAGGCAGTATTTCTAAAATACGTATCACAGCTCCAGAGTTTCTAATGTATTATTATATTGTCTGATTCTTCAGATGCTTCTTGTTTATAGTCCTTATTTGTGTGAGTAATTCACCTCATGATTACATTGTGATTCCTATGTAAAGATGTTTGACTTCGAATTTAATAGGCATATACTTAAAGTAGCTTTTACTAGGTCTTGTGAGTGTTACTTAGCTCCTGAAACTGCAAATTGTGTTGACAGACAGATCATCCTTGCTTCAGATAGAAGTTTCCAATAGCTTTATTGTAAGAAATAATTATGTGAGGCCACAAATATGTGCACATACGCTGTGCTGCAGGGTGTATTTTATTAAGCTATTCCAGAATTTCTGGTCATGCAGAAATTGTTGCAGCTTGATGTGCAGTGCCACCTAGTGAATTTATGGGGTGGGCGATTTGAATTATTAAGAGCCACGGAAAAAAACATCTACTGCTTGCTAACTGTCTTGGGTCTTTGTGCCAGGCTAAGCTACATGATTTTGAATGTGTAGGCATCTTCTCTGAAATTGAGTCTTTTAAACATGTTTCCAGGTGAAATCCTTCTAGCTGCAAGTCAATTCAGAAAGTGTTGGTCTCTGTCCTTGAATCAATTCTACCATCATGTACTCCTTTTGTATATAAAGTGGAAGAAATCTGTCACTTTCTTACTTGCCAGTGAATAGTGATACTAAGCAGAGGGGGAAAGCTGTTGATGAATTGTCTGAGTTCAACTCTGGGACAATAAATTATCAAACTGAAAGAAATTAGATAAATAAGTGTCAAGATATATTTTAGTGAAATTTTGGTCCTGTTTCATTTAATATTCAGGTAAATGGACTTGTGGAATATGGTTATGATGAA